GGGGGGTGGGGCTGACCTCTAAAATTAGTGTCGAAGCTCATGGTACTTACTGGCAATTTCAGCGGCATTCGGTATCCGAATAGCACTCAGTTTCTAAGTGACTCCTCGAATGTCACTTTGATGCCATTGTCCAGAGTGGTGATCCATCTATTCTGGTATGAACTGTAACTGATTTGCGATTCAGGCCAATGCCTAAAGCTTGACTGAAATATTACTGTGCCTACCCCTATAACTAATCATCAGCACTGTTGCCTGCTTGTTTAAGTTTACGCCAGCTTTGATGTGGGTTGAGGCTTAAGCAGTAATGCGGCAAAAACCAAACATTTCCAATCCGGATTAAAAATCAAATTAGTTTCAGTCCATACCCTTACGGACTAAAATGTGAATTAATTTACGTCTATGTCGACATGAACTAATCCATACCAGTATGGACGGATTACCGCTCTTGATGATAATACTCACATTTACTGAAAGCGCGTGCGGCACTGCTGTTGGACTGAGGCTACAATTGAATGCCAGGAGACCTTCCGCTGCAGTCAACAAACAAAGGATGGCGGATACCATGAACTGGTTTAGCGATAATGGAAGTAAATATCTTAACATAAAAGCACTGGCCGGTGATGGTGGCTGTGTTTCTGAAGTGATTCAGCGCCAGCGAAGGTCATCAAATGAAAGTCGCCCCATTCACTCTGTTCATGTACGGTCTAGTCTGAAACATAATGTATTTTAAGTCAACATAATGTATTCTGGAAGTGCGATAGTACAAGGAAGGAAAAGAGAAGCTTGTAACAGTTGGAAATTACACTATCACTGTGGGTCCATTTCTGACACTCTGTTTTCATGAAGTTGTTTGTGTGGTGCTGACCTCAACTTCTATGTCATCGGTCAAAAGTGCCTTATTTTAAAGCATTATTTGACAAGTACAAGATGTAGTCTCCTGTTTTTACCACAAAGTGATGCTCATTTTTCAAACTCAGGAGATGGAGAGGCGAGCGATCACGACTGTGGCTTTAACCCGGGACCCCTCAGTTCTTAATCTGACGCTCTACCGACTGAGCAACCCTTTTCAGAAGAAAAGTGTGGTAAATTCCTTGCTCAAGGAAACTCGTAGTTAAGATAGCTAGTGCCTTCGGCTGAAATTAAACCCAGCATCTCAGGAGTTCGAAGCTGACCTTTTAGGCACGGTGCCACCAAATCACCGAGACAGGAC